GTTTCGGCTGGGGAGCTATTAACTTAGATAACATTTGTGGTCACGGCGCGCGATAAGTTGATCTTTAACAATATTTAATCAAAGCGTTTCGATTGCAAGAGAGCTGAAATAAGGCATATTTTAGACTGTGAATAACAAGCTAAACAAATAGAGGGAGGAAGGCCCTTGCTGACCTTTGTCTTTTGCAGATATGTGAGAGCAGTGAAGCTCGTAAAAAAACAAATACTCAAATTATGAATAAATATACGGGGCATAGTGAAATCAATAATTGCCGAGTTTCAGCAAGATATCGTGAAAAATCAAGAAGTTTTCCACACAAGAACCTACCTTTCGACGGATAGCTCCTATGGCAGCTATTTCATATGGTTGTCCGATTCTCTATTAAAGCTGAGACAGACAAAATATATGTACTATATGCTGCTAGACATGAATATATATACATCATAGGGTCGAAGTTGCCCCCTTCATTCTATGACAAATATTATAATAATATCCTCTACAAGGCATTATGCAAAATTTTTGTGAATTTGAACCGGCGACCGCGCGTTTCTTGGTCCGACACTTAAAAAAAAATTAAACCACGCAAGCATTCTTGGCTTTCTTTTATGCTTTTCGAGGCAAAAGGTCAAATTTCAGTTTGCTAGCGCTCAGTTTTTGGTCTTGCATCAGTCAGAAAAGTTCTAGATAAATATTACCTGCCCCTTTTGTTGATGATAACACAAATGAAAGGTTAATAAGAGAACAGATTGTAATAGATAGTTAGCCTCTATTAATGTTTATTAATTTCAATACTGATCTGAATTTACATTAGATAGAGTCTAAATAGTTGGGAACTATGCCAGTTGCCACTTAAATAAATACATTTCATAAATACAATTTGATGAGCTTAGCTGTCGCGCAGGATCAGCTATCAATTCCAAATCCCAACAAATTTCGGGAACAATTAAGTTTATAGATACCAGTTTTTTTGTTGCTGCTGGCAGCTAAACAGCACGCCAGCTGGAAATACGCTTGATGCGCAACAGATATGTTGGCCTGAAGCGATGCCACATCATGTACCATCTGTCGACAAAGGGGAAAACGGGGTTATCGGAAAATATTTTGAGCAGAGCGGCGGCCAGTGGCGGGCCATAGCCCAGTTTCCACGTATATTTATCGGCCGAATACTCAAACGAATGCAGTACAAAGAAGATAATCCAATTGGTGATCGTCAAATAAAATGGCATCACATATTTGTAGACCAGCCAATAGCCAACAATGGGCGGATAGAAGCCGGGCGAAAAGCCGGCCGCCTCGTAGAGGCAATGCAGTCGATAGCAGACGCCAAAGATCATAAAGTATACGATAAGTGTGACTTGGACCATGATGAAGGACTTGACAATGTGCCACTGACGCCAATGGACGAGTGCGTGGGCCACGTAGCCGACCATCTCCTGCGTATTGAGACCCTTGCCGATCTCATCCTCGTACAGCTCCGACTCGGGCTTGCCGAGGTTCAGCAACAGATTCTCCATGATGAAGATACGCTTCCAGCAGGAACAGCCCCAGGCATTGGCTTTTGAGCCGCTCACTTGAAAGTTTGTGTGTATCAGGTACACATTGTCGGTCTTAAAGTGAAATATCTTCAATACCTTGACCAGGGCATCCCTCAGTTCGCCGGCGGGCAGCTTGGAACGCTTGCTCAGAAACGGTATGCCAAACAAACTGTAGATCATCAGACCGAGGCTAGATATAACGAACAGGAAACCCCAAATCCAGAGCACAAAAAATGTGCCGCCCGACCTTTCGATAAACAAAAAGATTGCCGTCAGCGGCACAAGGCCCACCTGTACCAGCACAAGCAGCAAAGCGAACGAGCACAACACCCCGACCAGGGGCAAGGTCTTATCCCGGCCAAGATTGTACCACTCGGCAAGCACCAGCTTGTTGTAAAAGATCTGGGGCAGGCGACGCAGCACCAAATAGCTGGAGAACAAAGCCACATAGGCGATGCTCTGCCAGACAAGATCGTCAACAATGCTATAGCAATTGATGATCACCCGCCAGAGATACGGATAGACGCCAAAGTACAGCTCGATAAAACAGAATATTGCATCGAATATGTAGGAGAGCAGCGACTGTTCCACGGTGTACATCTCGTCCGTTTTGGACGCCATATACGCCTCCTTGGTGAAGGCGTTCTGCATTTCGGCCGGCGGATCCACGTTCTTGTTGCACACGCGCAGCTGGCGCCAGCAGAGATACACGTGAAAGAAGTTCCGCACGACTATCATCAGGCAGAGCACGTGCCGCAACAGCACCGGATCGAATAGGGTAAAGTCCTTTGGCAACAAGCGCAAATGTATTCCCGTATCCGGTATAACCATTGGCTGGCTCTGCATCGGATCCTGATACAAGGCGTGGCTCATGTTGAAAGTGTTCTCTTACAATTTTACTTGGCGTGAAATATAAGGGGAAAACTCCAAAATGTATGTTCAAGCAGCCTTTTCAAAGTGCGCTCTGTTGTTATGGATTTTCTAGTATTTTGGTTTCCCGGCTAGGCACTGCTTATTATTTTTCAATTTCACCTAAAAGCGTGGAAAATAAATGGAATTCTAGTAAAATATTCACAACTTTTGTGTGGCAGGCAATCATCATACCCTTTTTAGCCATTTCAAATGGGTATGGAAGAGTTTTACAATATGACATGGACCGTGTAGGGTATTCAAAAAGTGACTTATTCTCAAATGTTTGTACTTTTCGAGCTATGCTTAAAAACCCAAGTCCCGAAATTGATAAGTTGGTTTGATTTATCGACAAAATTAATAAACTAGCTCTGCCTATGATATTCGAGAAAATTTATTTAAAATTTCTCTCGATTTAGTCTCTGTAGTTTCCCAGAGCGACGCGTTCACATAGACGTACATGGTTCGAAAGAACGAAACATAAATGTATACCCTACCTCACCCATTCTAAATGGACTGGTTTTGCTGACCTTTCCATATTCCAAATATTTGTTTGTCTGGCTTGAGCTTCGCGATTTTTATTCAAGACGAAATAGAGGCAATATTTTGCTTACATTTTCACTCCCAATATTTAGATTTAGAATATTTGGAGATTTTCAACTGAAAAGCTCTCACTAAAATATACTTTAAAAAATCTTTAATATCTCTATTTATATAAAACTGTCCTCAATTATTTTCAAAGATCTTTGTTCAAATTCATTTGATAGTTGTTTCACCCTTTTCGCAAAATCCATTCATTCTTGGTGAAAATGTGGGTCAAAGATTTGGTTTGTGAACTTTGGCGTGTTTCATACTTCGACGGGCAAAGCCGGGCAATACCCGCTGTATACATATATTAATTTCTGGTCACAAGTTAGAAAGTCAGTTTTTTAGTAAACCGCATCCGAACTGAAACTTGCACAAGTCGAACAGAGTATCGCGCAGTCGCAGTTATTTTGTGCTCCAACAACGTTGCTTGGCTGCTTCAATTATTGTTCGAGTCGCAGCGACCCATTCCCAGCCTCATTATCGGCCATCTGTGAGGGGACAGCATAAATGGGGGTAAGTCGCCCCAATGCGAAACTTGTCATAGGAATTGTGAGCGACAGGCGAAAAAGGCTCAAACTCCTGACAATTCCTGGCCCCGAATTGGCTTCATTGCGTCTAAATGTGGTGTCACGACACGCTTGTCGCTTGCCCGCTGGCAAAATCTCTCTTATCTCCGGCATTGGGCCTGACTGTGCCCACGCTCCGCTCCTGTGCCCCTGCCCAGCTAACTGACAGGTTCTCGATGCGAAAGTTGTTGGGACTTAATGATGCCTGCCTGGCAGAAGAAGAACAAAAAGAATATGCTCTGCGACTTTTGTGGCATCTTGGACTTTAAACTTTAATTGAGAAAGTTGTCAACGTACGAGCAGTTTCTGTTGCTTTTGGCTGTTGTAGTAAGTAGGTTCACACACACATATTTATTTTCCAAAAGAAAAATTAAAACATTTTTAATTGCGAGAATTTCTCTCCTTGTACATACAATTGCATACTTTTTCATTTGTATTGTATTTTTTGTTTGTTTAGTTCTTATTGTGCCGTAAAAGGTATCCAAAAGTTAATTGACGATCACGAGGAGCCGAGCCCTCTGCTCCTGGTCATCATCATCAAAATAAGAGAAGGGAACGAGACGGGAATGATCCTTTGCTCTTTGCCTTACACACGACGCGCTTCGTTTAAGTTGTTGTTGTTTAAAGTGATATATTGTATTAAATTAAAAGTTATCACATGATATTATAATATTGTGTTTACCATTTCGCAGGGGAGTGAGTGTAGTGTGGGGGGGGGTTGTGTGTTGTGTGTGGAGCAAGCGTCAAAATAATTTACAAGTGTTTGCTAACATAAAATGCTATGTTGAAGAAGTTGTTTGCTTCGGCTCACATCTAACCCCTCTTCTTGTTGTGGGTTATTTGCTCGTCCGGGTACAAACCGATGATACGAGTAGTTTGGTTGTACGAAAACTTAATTTGTAGCTATTACTTAAATTAATCTTATGTTCTAGGGAGCTGCTTCTCATTTGCTAATCAAATCAACTGATACTATAGTTAGTTTCCACTGTGTTTAGCTTAATCGAAGCGCGTGTGTCGGCCGCCTCCGTCGCCGCCATTCCGGTTGCCAAAGCCGCCGCCATCGCCGCCGCCGCCGCCACCGCCAAAGCCGCGTCCATTGCTGATGCTGCCCTTCTTGAATCCGCCGCCGCCGAAGCGACCGCCACCGCCGCCGCCGCCGCCATAACGGGAGCGTCCGCCGCCGCCGTCGTAGCGCGAGTTGCGTGCCAGATTTTCTAGCGCGGGATTGATTTCCTGCAAACGAAGCGAAAACAAAAAGAGATTAAATACCATTCAGATTATAATATATACGAATTGTTAACTTTACGCACTTGGTTAGCCTCTCGGAGCACATCGACGAGCGCCTTGGCCTGCTTGGCATTGTTTTTCGTGAAGAAGGCAAACGATGTGCCCTTGGTATTCGAACGTCCTGTGCGTCCAATGCGATGTATATAATCCTCGCTGTTTTGTGGATAGTCAAAGTTGATGACATATTTGATGCCATCGACGTCTGTGCATATGTGTGAGAAATAGATATGGAATGCGTTTATAGATTAATATAAATCATATTTAGTTTGGTTCATATTTCTAAAAAACAGTTTGCAAATTGCCAAATGGTTGTTTTGAATTTTCTATTTGCTCTGGTGCTTTGCTTTGCTGTTGCTTTTGCTTTTGCAATAACAATTTTTAGCGTTTTTCCGAGACGTTTTTACACTTTGAATACACTTGTCTTTTTTGATTCGCTTTTCGAGTAAAGTTTATATTTTGTATGTTTTCAGCTTCTGTTTTTTTTTTTTTATTTCTATATGTATATATATTTGATTTTATATATTTTTTTTTTGGTTTTGTTTTTACGAAAAAAAGAAAATGTTTCAAAATGTACGTTACCTTCTTGGTGCTACAAATTGTTTCACTCAATTTTTCTCTCAATCAAAATCTCAAAGTTTTGTGGCGCCGCGCAGCTCGTGGTCCAAACTCTCTCCCAACAACAATAATATATATGTACATTATATTATTTAAATATGATCGCATGGCGAAGCGCGAGCGGCGAGAGTTTGTTGCATTGAGCCCCGCGTGCACCTCATCTGACTCGACTCGACTCGACTCGACACGACTCATTAGACTTGGGGGGCTGGGGGTCGGTCGGGCCAGGCCAACCGGTAACCGCATCCTCCACCATAGAAGGGAGAGGCGGCGGCATATATGTATGTGTTTATTATTGAATTATTAAACTCTTTTATGTAGAACAACTTTTTCAAACAAGCGTCGCGGTGTCCAGGAGAGATTCAGTTGCCACCCACTAGACGGCGGGCGTTGGCGGCGCGCAGGCAGTTGGGCAGTGGGCGTGGCGGCCCAATTGGTAGCTAGGCACTCAGCAGCAGCAGAGGCAGCAGCAGCGACGACGACGACGACGACGGCGACGAAGACGACGAAGACGATCATCACACAGCTATCTTCCTTCCTGAGATCCACCAACATTCCATTCCAATTCTGGGACAGCTCTAATAGTGGAAATGGTTGTGTGTGTGTGTGTGTGATTGTGTCTGGGTGTGCGTGTGTGCATCCTTTGGGCTGAGTATTCATTCCGTGTTGCTGTCGCTGCCTGGCTGATGTTTGTGGTTTGTGCTTAGCAACCGGCCGGCCGACGACATCAGCGCCTTTCAAGTTCGACATATATATATATATATATACATATATTAATGTGCCTGCTTTGTAGCGCCGCCTTCAACTGGTGACAACCAAGATGCGCCCCTCTTGACCGTTTTGCTTGTTGTGCTTTGGTTCGTATTTCGGTTTAGTTGGCTGGCTGGCTGGTTGGTTGACTCAACACTCTTTCTCGATATGTGAGGACTGCAGAGGCCACGTATGATGCATGATGTTGGGGATATATATATATATGTATAAGCCCTCGTCTCGTATGTTAACGTTGATCATCGCGCGTCCGAGCACGAACGAACACGACGACGACGACGACTCGGAGATCAGTTGAACATTCTATTATCTCCACAATTCAATTGTGTTCTGTTCTTTCATTCAGAGTTTCAGCTGAGCTGAAAAAGTCGGCTCAAGTTACGAGTACAGGTTTTGGGACTTGTTGTTTGTCCTTTATCCTCCCCATCATACTACAATAAACGGCCTCTGTAAACGAGAAAGAAGGAAGAGAGAGAGAGAGAGACAAAGAGAGAGAGAGAGAGGCAGAGAGAGAGAGAGACACGCACACAGACAAAATTGTGTGTGTGTGTGCACAACACAAGGCACACATATTTATCATTTACGGGGTGTTTTTTTTTTTTTTTTTTTGTGGGGCATTTGCAGGGAGGCGGGTGCATGGTTATGGGCGGGGCGTGGGTCGGGTGTGGGTGTGGAATAAAAGTTTATGTTGATTATTAAAGTTTTTAGCTATGTTTGGAAGGGGGGGAGGGGCGCTTACGACTAAAAACTGTTGATATTTATATTTATAAAGAAAGTTTTTGGCGCACGCTAATTTGTTCTTGTCTTCAAGTCTAGATGCAGTTAATGAGGCGGTTTGGTGGGCGGGGGAATCAGTGGGGCTTGTTCGGGGTAGGAAGGGGGGGGAGTTATAGTCTAGTGGGAGATGTACAGTGAAAGCTCTGTAAAACGGACAGCTCGATGAAGCGCAAATTTTGGCAACAAAACAAATTGTATTTTATACATGAATCGAGGCATCTCCTCCAGAGTGTATATATATTCTTGATCCGTCAGTTTCTATGAAAATTAGTTGCTCAATTCTCAGCCTAGCCTCATAGGGAACTCTTCTAGATGAAATAGAAACGATCTGTCAAGATCGATCTACTATATTGTACAGCTCTATAGGAAGAATCGGACCAAGCGTTTTTGTATGGAATATTTTCTTCAACTTCACAGGAATAATTACAAGCTTCAATTATATCAATCTTGACTGTTCGTTCTAGCGAGCTTTCACTGTGTGCATGTCAAGCAAATGTTTATATGGGCAAATGTTTAAGTGTGTGCGTGTCTGTGTGTGAGTGTGTGCGTGTCTGTGTGAGTGTACGTCTAGTGCGGCAAAGACTCGATGGCGTGATCGTCGTGAAACTACGTGAATTGCTCATGCATAACGTTAACTTACCCAAGCCACGGGCCGCCACATCGGTGGCCACCAGAATGTTGGACTTGCCGGAGCGGAATTCGCGCAGTACAAAGTCGCGCTCCGACTGGGATTTGTCGCCGTGAATTGCGCCGCAGCGCACGCCAAAGCTGCGTATGAATCGAACCAGATTGTCCACGCGACGCTTGGTCTCCACAAAGATGATGATCTTGCCGGGATTCTCGCTGGTATCGTAAATGTCCGACAGCAGGCTCTTGAGTCTGTAGGGCAAATAGAGGAGTTCGGATCAGATGGGATTGGCAAGAGATGGGGTCTGTATGCTTACTTGTCCTCCTTGCTGAATTCGTCGCAGACATCGACCACTTGGCGAATATTGTGATTGGCCGAGAGCTCGAGCGAGCCAATGTTGATCTGTATGTAGTTGCCGAGGAAGTCCTCGGCCAGCTGTTTAACCTCTTTGGGCCAGGTGGCGCTCCACATGAGCGTCTGGCGATCGGGACGTATCTGTGAGACAATCTTGCGTATTTGCGGCTCGAAGCCCATGTCCAACATGCGATCGGCCTCGTCCAGCACCAGATAGGTGCAACGCTTCAAATTGGTCGATCCCGCCGAAAGGAAATCAATGAGACGGCCGGGCGTGGCAATCACAATCTCACAGCCGCGCTGCAGATCGCGCATTTGACCGCCCTTCGGTGCGCCGCCAAAGACGCAAGTGTTGCGCACATAGGAGGACGAACCGAACTCGGTGGCCACCTGCTGTATCTGCTGGGCCAGTTCGCGTGTGGGCGCCAGCACCAGGGCAATGGGACCCTCGCCGCGCTGCAGCGGCTGCTGGTTGTTGATGTGCACAATGGCGGGCAGTATATAGCCGAGCGTCTTGCCCGAGCCCGTCTTGGCAATGCCCACAAAGTTGGCGCCGCTCATTGCAATTGGCCAGCCCTGCGCCTGGATGGGTGTGGGCGACTTGTAGCCCTGGCGGCGAATCTCCTTCACCACATAGTCGGGCAGATAGGCCTCGGCAAAGTCCTGTATGGGATTGGCCGCCTGGCCGCGCACTGTGATCTCGTGCTCGTCACGATAGCGCTGCACCTCGTACGGCGAGCGAGCGGCCACCGTGGGATGCTCCTGATAGAAGTTCTTTTTGAACGGCGTCAAATTGGAGAAGTCCACCGGGCGCATGGGCAAATCCTGGCTGCCGCCACCGCGACGATCACCGCCGAAGCCGCCGCCGCCGCCGCCACCACCACCGCCGCCAAAGCGCCCACCGCCGCCGCCGCCGCGATCATCACGACGCTTCTCAATGCGACCATTGCGTACGCCGTGATAGTCGCCGCCGCCGCCGCCAAAACGTCCACCGCCGCCACCGCCGCGACGATCGTCATCGCGGTCGCGGCCGCCACGTGGTCCGGATCCAAAATCACGGTCGTGCGGTGCCCTGTTTAAAGAAAATACAATTCATATACATTACGCTTAAAAAAAAAAAAAAACAACAACAACAACAACAACAACAGAAAACATGCTAGAATGACACTTTGTTTAGTTTGGCAACTTAAATTTTGGCAATACGGTAACCGATTTGTGTACTTTTTGCATTTAGTGCACTTTTATCCAATTTCAACATATTTAGTTTGCTATCGTTCGACTTTTTGCTTCCGCCAGCAGATATATTAAATGTCATTCGAGCTTGTGAATTGTTAATGCGGCGCCCACTTTGATCGCATGCTGTTCGTTTGCAGTCAGTTTTGCGACTGGCTGGCAACGCTAAGCATCTGACGGATTTGACATGTGAGAGTGAGAGCGAAAGCGAGACAGCAATAGAACCGCAATAAACTTAAATAAAACTAATTGCGTGTTAAGGAAATTAAATAAATTTCGAATAATGCAAACAATAAGGCAAATTTGATTGACAACAACATGCAAGAGCAGCCTTTATCTAAGCTATACAATATTTACATACAACTAAACAACTCGGCACCTGGCAGCGGCAGCCAAAACACAAATGTTACAGTTTTGACATTAATCAATTATACACACAAACACACACGCACACACACATGTGAAACGTATCGGTTTATTCGTTTGTAATGTGCAGCCCATAAAATGCTAGCCTCCTCCCCCCGCCAAATGTCTGTCAATTTGGGCTACTCCGCCCTTTGTTTTTTTTCTAGGCACGCTAACTTGGCCAACTGACAGAAAGGTACGCTGAACGTTTATTAGACAGCAAATGTCTTGTCTAGGTGCCCCACCGCTCTCTTTCTCTACACAGTGTCGTGTGCTCTACCTGTCGCGCTTACAGGCATGCAAAAAGGCAAATCGTGCGCGCACACGACAGAGCAAACGGGCGACGGGCAGACTCTCATAATCAATTGGCGTCGTTTGACATTTTAAACTAACAAACTGGGAGAGTTAGACAGAGATGGAGAATTCAGCTAGGTAGCGGTATTAGCTTTGACAGACGGCGATAAAATATCATGGGCATGCAAACTGTACTACGAACTGTTATACATGAGCGAGACACGCGAAAAATGCCGCCAATACATACACAGGCGCGCACACACACACTCACACACATTGTTGCACGCTGTGTCTGCGTGCTCGTGTTGAGGGCATACAGACAAATTAAAATGCTATAAAAAAGCAAACGAAGTAAAGACACGTTTCACAAATCAAGCCAATTCTCTTTATGACGTACACTGACATTTCCCCCACCCCTTTTCCTGTTGTTGTGGTTCTTGCTATTAGTTGTTGCTTGCGGAAAAAAAAAATAATAACAACAGTAGAAAAACGAAGAACAAAAATAAAAATGTTGATTTTCTGCTGTTTGCTTTCCCTTCGGCATTTGCAACTCTCCATTAATTACTCATCGTTGAGTTTCGAGGTATACAGACTTTACGAACGTTGAGCGCAAAGCGTGGGCAAGAAAATGGCGACGGAAAAAAACCCAACAACTACATCAGCATATGTACCCATACATGCACATGTTTCCATAAGCGTGTTTTTCATTGAATTTCCATTAGAAATTTACTTACATTATTCCTTCAATTTTGATTTCCTCTGATTGCTCGTCTGGGTCAATAAAAAGCGATTTCCTCGTACGTTTGGACAAAGTAGTAGTTTGCCTGTCTGCTGGGAGTGCTTCGTCGACTAATCTGGATGTTTCGTATCGAGTTGACGACAAATGAAACGCACGCTGTGTCTGCTGGGAGCAACTGAATAATACTCTATGTGTGGGTACTGCTGACTCCTGGCTAGACCGGCTCCCTTGGAACTGTTGTGGTTGTTCTCTGCAGATGGAAGCAAGACTGCTGCTGGTTGTTCTGTTGGTCGAGCAAAAAAGAAAATGGCGACGTTGCGTTATACATTTTTCCATGCTGTGTGGTGAAATCAATAAATTGCGCCAGCTGCATGTGGGTAGCGTCGCAGCTTCGCACGATTTACGCGCTACATATTGTACTAATTTTAACATATTTAACTAAGCAATAATTTATTTCGTTTAAAAACCTAATAATTTTCACTTATTATGCACTAAACTCGTGCAGGTCTATGCGCGCGTGTTCTTACCTAACCTCGTCCAAAATGGAAATGAAAGACGATGAATTTTTGGCCACGATATTGCAGCAACAAACTATCGTGCGTTACATCGATTGGCAACGAGGGTTGCATTGACTGCAATCGATGTTCTGTACACTTAATGTGCTCAGCCAGTTAACGTTGCATATGCCAATTGCTCTTATTTTATGTGCTAAGTTATATAAATAATATGCAACCAAAGATTATTTTGTTACATAAGCATTAAATAACAAAATTATTTGAAAATTGAGCCAGTCGCTCGTAACTTTGCGCTACTCAAACGCGTATAGCGCCACCTGCTGGCTTTTTTGTGCATCTAAGTTGACGCAATGCCATTTGTGAATGTGGCAACGCTCTGCAGTGGCAACTTTACAGTTATTTGAAAACAGTAAAACCGCGTGCAATTTCGCAATGTGTATAATTTATTAAATTAGCAAATCAATGTGATTCAAATAAAAATACAATTAGTGCAACAACTACAAACCTAACAAACTACAAAACGCCCTATACATTTTGGCACGCCGACCCTTCAGACAACCGTACAAATCGTTTATCTTGAGGCAATCAATTTGGCTGATCGTCTTCCTCTGGCCAATTCGGACGCCCGGCTGCAGCGGCGTCATCGTCGGCTTTTGACCCTTCTTTTTGCTAAAATAGTACTCGCCGTAATGCATTACCGAGTTGTAATCGTAGTCAAAGGCGTATTTGCCGCGCTTGCGCGAGACGAGCTTAAAATTCTTACGAAAACGCGGCACAATATTGTCCCAGTGGATCTTCACAAAGTTGTCCCGATCCGCGCGCGATTGCTCGTGGTAGATGCCAATCGCATGCATTAGCTCGTGCATGATGCGTCCCTCGCTGCTGAAGCAGTGGGCGCTTGTCTCGTCGGGCCGCTGCAGCGCGACAACCTGCTCCCCGCCCCGCTTGCCCACATACGACCAGCAGCCCTGCGGCCCCTCCTCGGGCGGCTCAATCAGCAGATAATCCTCCACATAACCATCGTGCGGCACAAACCGGATGCAGGTGAGCGAATTGAATGTCCACAAAGCATGCATAATAGACTGTCGCTCCCTGCTCTCGTAGCGCGGGCTAATCGCAAAGGGTATGGTACCGTTGGGCCACAAGCGCTTCGGATGTCGCATGGGATTCACGCCCAGACGCAGCGTGATGTACGTATAGGGATCGATGGCAATGTCGCCCTGGAACAAGCGTGGCATGGTCTCCGGATCGTCAATGCCCAGATCATCATCACCGATATCCGGCCCGAACGGATCGAACTCGTCTGCAAGAAGAGCTAGAGCTTAGTATGGAAACTATGGTACTGGCCGGCTTGGACGCACCTGCCGCCAGGCTGCTGAACTCATGCTCAAAGAAATCCACACCAGCCGGATAATGCACACGCTGCGGCGCCGGCTGCTGTCCGACGACGCTTTCTCTGCCCGGCGCGGCAGTCAACGCGGCGGGCAACAATAAAAGCGACTGCAACAGCAGCGCTAGCAGCGGCAACAAAGATTTGGGTAAATCTTCACACATTGTAAAAGAGCTTTGATATCGTATTTGTTATTAATATTTGCGTTTCGCTGTTTGTGTTTGCCTTTCAGAGCGACGCCATGCCCGCGTGGCCGCAATCCAAGCCAGAAACCGTACCGAACCGAACCGCTGCGCGCAAAGACGTTAACTAAACTCGCCGCCAGCTATCGCCGACATTGAGGCCCGCGCGCGCGCGACTTGTATTTAATTTATGCAAAAAGTGCGAAAATAAAAACTAAATAATGTTGGCCATCCGCCGTCAGGTGGATCGGTATATCGGTATCGCTTGATACCGGGCTTTGCAGACTTTGCAAACCAAATCCAACATCATCTATCAGCTGTACGCGTCGCAGAGCTCCAGCGATCGTCACCACCACCTGCTCACCTGTCCGACTGACTGGGCGACTCTTGTAATTTAATGCCGCAATGGGAAAGAGCGATGGGCAAGTGAACGGCCTACGTTTTGCCATACACTTTAAATCCGGGTACTTTGCCTACTTTAAATTGTGTTTATTGTTCAACTTTGCTAATTTTCTTGCCTTTTAGAAAGTCGCCCAATCAAATTTGAAGATCCCATTTAAATTATAAATAATTATTCATCAAGTATTCAGCTGAATTCCACCAACTGGTAAGCGCATATATTCTGCATATAATTCGTTTATTGTAATCAATATAGTCCTAAAGTCGGAATAGAAATTATAGCTAAAATGGATGTATGTAACTTTTCTCTATCATCCGTTTGGCTTTAAAAATCTTTGTGAAAATTAACTTGAGACATGTTCTTTTGAACGGAAAGTTCGGGTGAATTATAAATTGATCTATTTAAAAAAAAAAGGAATCCGTGTTGCAACAATATTTATAGTCCGGTCTACGGAAAGTCTTGATTGCTACTTTTATTTCTTTTCGATCGCCTTCAAATTCGATTTGGAATATTTGCATATCTATATGTATGTGGAAAAAGGGTGCAAAAGTAATGTCAAGACGGATTAAGAAGAAACTTGAACCGGATAGAAGTGTGTAATATCCTCCTCTAGTCTACAAAACAAAACAATTCCAGTATCAATTCTTCGATCATCCACCAATATGTGATTGGATTGGTTTCTATGTAAAGCGATTGATAACATATTAATTATATTTAACAAAAAACCGTTGCACCTTTGAGCCTAAGCTTTCTGAATGAAAGTGTATTTTGGCTGCCGCATTTAAATCATATCATTAATTTATTTGCGTGCTGTTGTTGCCGCCTGTTGTCGTTGGTCAGGTTTACGTCTTAATGTTATAAATAAATAAAATTTCGCAAAATTGATTTCAACGTCCGGAGGCCCGGCACGCTGCATTTCGTAAACGTTTAGAGCTCTGTTTTGTTAGTTGTCTGTTTGTTAGCCAAAACAGTTGCTGTTATTGTTTCTATACCCTATAACCCTTGCAAATGGCTAAAAGGGTATAATAATTGTGCGCAAGTGTATGTAATAGCCAGAAGAAAACGGGCCGAAATCTATAGTGTATATATATTCCTGATGACAGTCGAACTGATCTGAACATATCCGTCAAGAGCTTCGAGCTCGAAAATTATAATAGCTAAAGTTATAATATTTGTTAGGTATATCAAACTAAGGGCCAAGCAGTACAAATTAATTTTGAATAATCGATAACTTGATTTGTTATGTTTATGAAATCGATTAATAACAATCGGTTAATCGTTATTGCTGCTGTTTTATGCCCATATCTCAGAGCTTATCAGAGCTAGGGACACCAAATTGGACATATAGACTCTTGTATCTTATACATAGTTCCGGAATATTCGACTTTTTGAATACCTCTTTTGAATAAAGAATTCTTTTGAGTTAAAGTCTTGTGTGCATCGAAAATTTCATACAGATCGAACAATAAACGCCGAAGTTAATCAAGAACGTATTTGGCATAAAGCTAAGGGAAGAAAAAGCAAGCTTAACTCTGTGTGCAGGGTATTTCCTAGTCGGTGACTGGAGCACACACTTATTTTGTGTTTTTGCTGCTGTTAGCTGTTGCTTATATGACACCAAAGAGCAGCATTTGGGCCAAGCATTTGAAAACTGCCGCCTCGGGGTCATTTAATTTTCAGATTATAGATATATGTACGCCCGAAATTGTCCAAGACTAACTATTTGTTTCTTCTATCTACATCTTTGGGTTTTAATTGTTTGTGTCGCAGCACTTGGGAATGCATTTTAATCGCTCATCATTAATTAGAGGCAACTACTTGCAACTTAATTAGCACAACAACAACAACAACAACAACAACAACAAGAACAACAGCAACAACAATTCGGGCCACACATTTAATCATGATAATTTTGGAATTTAAATTCATTTGTGGTATGTCGGAACATTTCGTATATTGTCGAGGTGTGAGCTTTGATTTTGTTAATGAATAAATCATTTTGCAAGAGCGCATTCCAATTAGTTACTAATATCCAATTACGCAAAATTGTGAGAGATATCAATGGGTCTACTAAGCTATTATGTTCGCTCGTGTGCCTATAAATTCCTTTGTGTACCCTGTGCACAGAGAAGAAGCGGAGTGAATGGGTAAAACATGCTGACAGAGAATATATTCGTTTTCCAACACTATATTTTCGGGTGAGGTTGCTTTGCTTTGTTTTGTCAACTATTGGGTATCTTCTGGTCGATCAGTCTGTCTTAGAACACTTCACAACTAGGTACAGGGTATCAACATGCTCATACGTTATGTTTGCTTTATTTTGTCAATCTTGATTGAATAAGTTGGGAATTTATACAGTATTACCTGTTATAGGGTATCTGCTTGTCGATCACTTTTGACTCGACTGCTTTAGTACTGAGTTTTGAAATGATCTGCCGCTCAGTCAACTTTCTTGTACTGGATGCTAAAGTCGGCCTTAGTACAGGGTATGCAATAGTCGATCACTTGTGACTTTTATTTTGTTTGCATTGATTTGCCGCTTAATCAAATATATTTTGCTTGCGCAGAAAATATATATTTTGCATAAATAATATTTGTTATCATTTGCCGAAAGTACAGGGTATGTTAGGGTCGATCACTTGTTAACATTTTCTCTTGATTTGCTGTTTAATCAACTAGATTTTGCTTGCGTTATATTTTGAATGTATTTCGTTGTATATATCATGTTTATGACTATTCAGCTTAAGTGCAGGGTATGTCATAGTCGATCACAACTGACTAATTTAGATTTTCTGCTCAATCAACTAGATTTTGCGTCCGCTTTATATTTTTAACATATTTTGTATATATTATATTTGTGACTATTCAGCCTAATTACAGGTTTATGACTTTTCAGCTTAAGTACAGGGTATGTCATAGTCGATCACAACTGACTAATTTAGATTTTACGCTTAATCAAAAAGGTTTTGCGTGCGCTTTATCTTTCTAATATATATTGTATATATATTGATGGCTCTGGCGACCTTTCCATATTTCAATATTTATTTGTTGGCTGGCTCGAGGTCCGTGTTTGTTAGAGAGAGAATTGAATAAAATTGTTTTTCATTGTTTGTTTTAACAAACACGGACCTCGAGCCAGCCAACAAATAAATATTGATATATTGTATATATTATATTTGTGACCATTCAGCCTAATTACAGGGTATGCTGCTAGATTTTCTATGATCTATATACCTTATACTAGACACATACACACACATATGTGTATATATATGCTTTTAAGGCAATTTCCGCCACTTGTTCACTAGCTGTGAACTCTTGACCTGTTGTTAACCGCTGCTGACCTGGCAAACATTCCCAAATTTGAGTCAAATTTCAAATGCGATACGCTTCTCTTTCCTCTTCTTTTTTATGCTATACACGTTGGGTGAGAGGGGATGGGTGGGGGGGTTGGGAATGGCATTGTACCGCAAGACAAAGCAACCGACTAATTCAAAGTTGTCACGTAATAAACCACCAAAAGCCAAAAACAAAAAAAAAAAAAAAAACTGAAAGCGAGAAACAATCGCTTCACAAATAATAAAAATCAAATAAATTTGCATTTTTATTTATTTATTTTTGTTTTTTTTTGTCAAAGCTGCGCTAACAACAACAATTTGAACCATGTACAAATCGTTATTTGATTTGATTACGTAATGACGTCACACGCACACACACACACACACAAGCAAGTGTTGCCAGCCGCCCCTCCTCCACTCGCACGCCCTTCTCGCTGTTCCTGAGACTGTGTCTTTCCCGTTTTGGCTGACAGTTTGTCTGCCGTTTGCATTTCGTTATACCCTTTTGTAAAGGGTATGTTAAACTCCTCACAAAATATGTGACGCACAGAAGAAGATATTTTCACGAACAAATATTGCATTCAAATTGATTAATCTCTAAAATGCATATCCATAAGAAAAATCATTCGAGACGTGTTTCACATTTTTCGCAGGATCAAAGCATCTTCGGTAAAAAGTGCAATTCAAAGTTTTTTTGCTGACGTTTGATTATTTTCCGATTTGCTTCAAAATTATTTTCAAAGCTCTACATAAAAACTTAATAAATACGCGTTGGGAAATTCCACTCGAAAATGTTTGTATGAAAGTTGTTTGCTTACCGGGCAAGGCCGGGCTATATCATATGGCTGCTAGCAATGCAAATATAATTTTGGTATGGCAACACTTTTCGGCATTGTCAACTTAAAGGCGAACCGCTGCCATTTGTTCGCAAGGGTATTTGATCTTCTGTGCGGCGAACGTAACTGTTCTTTCTTATTTTGCATTTGCTTTGCTTTGCATTTTTATTGTGTGCTTTGCTTTGTTTTGCTTTGCCTTGTTTTGTTTTGACACCCAAAAGCGATATCTCCAATTAGATTTCGAATGGAATTAATTGAATTGCATTAAAACGGTTGCTGATTTGTGGCTATGCTGATAGCCCCCCCCCCCTCCTTTTCACTGTGTTCCCCTCGTTCGTGCACTTTGACTGCATTAATCTGCATAATACAAAGATAATATTTGGCATCTGTATAACAAAATTAATAACG